GTGTGTGTGTGTGTGTGTGTGTGTGTGTGTGTGTGTAGAGAGAGAGAGAGAGAGAGAGAGAGAGAGAGAGAGAGATTCTTTGAATCGGAAGTCTCTTTCAAGAAGATAAATCAGAAGTTCCTTCTAAGAAGATGAGGTCAAAGGTGCCTTTTTTTCTGAAACTGGTGACCATGACCATCATTTTCATAGTTTCTCTTCTCAATTTCAATTTACATGAGTCTGTATGGCTTGCTGATGTGCCTATATACCTTTGCATTGTAGGTGGCTGAGCGAGCTCTTTTCTTGTGGAACAATGAGCACATCGTCAGCTTAATTGCTCAGAACCGGCAAGTTATCCTAACTCTTGTCTACCAGGCACTTGAAAGGAACACAAGAAGCCATTGGAACCAGGCTGTTCTCAATCTCACTCTAAATGTAAGGAAGATGTTCTCTGAGATGGATGAGGAGCTTTTCCAAATGTTCCAGTCTAATTATGAGGAGGAAGAAGCAAAGGCTAAAGGGGTGGAGGAGAAGCGTAGGCTAACATGGGAACGCTTAGAGGCAGCTGCCAAATCTGGGCCTTCTGACCCTGCTAAAAACACAGCTGTTTTGGTAACCCCTCTAATCATTTGCACCCCCCTGTGCTAGTTCAATTAACTGGATATTTCTCTTTCTTATAAATTACTTGTAATCTCTACCGTCTCATGGATTAGTGTCGGAAAGACCAAGAGGCTCTTTCTTTCTAATTAGTGTAGCCTCATACTGGTCTCTTGTAATACCATCATGTAACTGTAACTATAATTAGCCATAGTGAGAGGGAACTTGTCACTTTCTGGGCAATTAGTGTAGCTTGTGTCTGTAGAAGTTGTATCGTTACTTCATCAAGGTCGTCACTGTATTTAGGCTTGAACCTGTTGAGCTTCTATAATGTATTTCCTGAGACGGGTTTTTGCTTGTGGTTTGTTTCCTATATGGGTAACACTGATAAAATGGTGAAACAGATGTGATTTTCCTGGTAGCGCATAGTGAGGGCTTTTCCTCTGAGCTGGATAAGCTTAAGGTTAGTGCGGGCTCTGTGGCGCATACGTGCACCCAGGTGTATGCCATATGCATGCACGCACACACTAGGGAAATGGAATTGGATTTGGGGCCGCAATTGCAGAATCACCAGTATAATCTGCAGCAAATTTGTTGCTCCCATGAATTATTGTTTGATAATTAGAGAACTCGTGGTGCCTTATTTGGGTCATTTCTTGGAGTTCGGTGCTCCAGGCAATAATCTTCAATGACCCTTGGAACTAGCTCCTGTAAACTAGCTCACATAAATCACATATACATGTTGATGTCACATTCTTAAACGTACACAGGAACTACCATTGATGAAAATGAACATGGTGATCGATCTTAAGTACTTAGGGCATTTTTTTTTTGTTTTTGGTAGATCAGTAGGGATTTGGACGGTCCTTTTGGTGAGAAGCGAGTTTGGCAGTACTACCACTAGGGCTGCTACTGGGCCATGCCTGAGGCCTGGTAAAGCTCAGAACTACTCTGGCCCGGACTGAAAAGTGTACGTGGAAAGCCTGGCCCACCCCGGTCCAGCCCGAAAAGGTTCTATTGGCTGGGGCTGGGCAGGGGGGCCATTAAGAACCCCCTGTTTTTTTCTTCTTTTTTTTTTCTTTTTTTCTTTTTTTTTTATCTCACTCGTTGAGCCATGCTTTTTTTTCCTCAGAGAGAATGAGGTTTTAGGAAGAAACAGATATTAGGTTTCTAAGAGTGGGTTTTCAGAGAGAGATTGGATTTCTAGAGTGAGAGAAAGGGTTTTTAGAGAAAGAATGGGTTTTTAGGGTGAGAGATTGGGTTTTTAGAGAGAGATTAGGTTTTTAGAAAGAAAAGGGTTTCTAAAATAAGAGAATGGGTTTTGAGAGAGATCCAATTAAGGTTGTTAGAGAGATTGGATTTTTAGAGAGAGATAAATTGGGTTTTTAGAGAGAATGAGTTTTTAGAGAGACATAGATTGGGTTTTTTTAAAGAGAGAATGGGTTTAGAGATAGAGAGATTGGGTTTCTCCCCTTATAGTCAATATATTGCAGCTTTTGATATTTATAACGGCGGCGGGATAGACAACATTGGTTGTCTCGCATTCTTCCGGACTCAATGATAGTCTGAGTAGGGAAAGCATGATATGGTTGTTTGGTCCGTAGGTAGTCTGAAGGGAAAAAGGCCTTAAATTGTCTATCCAAAGGTCCGCCGGCCGAATGGGTGTATCAAGGGGGGGTGGGAATGATCCGAGCACCTTTGTCAACAGCTTTCAGTAAGGTAATTAAAAGGTTAGGGTTGACCAAAAATAACTTCATATCTGTAGTGCGTTGTTTGGCAGCAGCATCTATCGGGTAGTAGTAGAATAGTATGCCGCCCGGCCAAAACGACTGGAAACAAAGAAACAAAAAGGTCTCTACCGCTCTCACGAGGTACTCTGTCATATATTGGAGGAAAGGTGGGGATGATGTCAAGTCCGCATGAGGTTTTTTTAGAGAGAGAAAGAGAGATTGGGTTTTTGGAGAGTGAGAGATTGGATTTTTAAAAAAAGAAAAAGAAATTAAATTTTCTAAAAATATTTTAACATCTATTTATTTTTAATTTTTTTGCTTTAATATAAACAAGAAGAGTTTGAACTTTGAAGAGTGAAGATTTTTTTTTAAAGGGCTTCTAAATGGGCTGGGCCTGGCCAAAATATTGCAGGGCATTCTGGGCCGGCCAGGTGAATAGTACCTACTCTTGTGGCCTGGGCCCGGGCCCACCCCAAAACCCAAGAACAGCCTGGATTAGACCCAAAACCCAAGAACAGCCTGGATTAGACCCAAAACCCCAAGGGTAGGGTCCCTCTCCCCACTGACTCACCAAAAAAAAAAAAAAAACTAGATCTCAAGTTTAATTACGAATAATGCTTGAGACTAGGCTTTCTATGTAAGTTGCCCCGAAAAAACTTTTTTTTTCACTTTTATCTCAAATAATACTTTCTTAGCAAATACCCCCAACACAAAAAAAATAAAAAAATGGTCTAAATTATCGTCCCTTGTTTTTACCCACACCTCTTTCTCCTCTTTCCCACAAAAGGCGGTCCGGCAGTGTAATGTTGGTCAGGTAGATAACAATGGCAATTGCCAGTACAAGTGGCGATCTAGCATTGACAAAGAACGGTTTGACAATGGGCCCATGTTGATCTGGCACTGCCAAAGAGCGGTCCAGCAACAGGCCTATGCGGTCCAGCCACATGCCTATGCGGTCTAGCCACTGGCCCATGCGGCCCAACAACAGACCCAAAGTGCTGTCTGGCAATGTCAAAGAGCGGTCCAGCATATTTTTTAGTTTAACAGGGCTTGGCAGTGTCAAAGAGCGGTCCGGCAGCCCATGTAAGCCCACATGAATGTCCGGCCAAAATTAAATTTTTATGTATGAAAAAAGGTATTTTCATCCAAAAAATATGTACCTTTTTTTACTTGGGGGTATTTACTAGAAAAATATATTTTAGGGAAAAAAAAGTGACAAAAAAAATTTGGTTGGAGATAACTTACATAGAAAGTTTAATCTTGAGGATTATTTGTAGTTTTTTGAAAAACAATATTGCTATTTGTTTTTCGCTTCATATATGGAACCAGTGCTTCACATGATTGCAACTTGGTTCCAAAGTTTTGTAATGAATCATGAGCGTGTCATGAAGCAGGGCAATGCTCATTAGTAAGTTGGGAAACTTATCGAACTACTCATGAGAATTGAACAATTTAACACTACCAATATCTTTTAATTTAATTCCAAAATATCTACAGAAAAACACATAATTTTTTTGTTGGAATAGGTGGAAAAGGGTAGAAAGTTAAATACTTCATCTAAGAGTATTTTGATAGATCCCCCTAGTTTCAATTACAGATGCATTGTGTCTAGTTCACAATTGACAAAAACATGAATTTTTCTTCTTTTTGTGGGAGGGATGGGAGGATTTATTTAAAATTTTGTAGTTTTCAAAAGATATAAATACACATTTCATATTTTTTTGAAAAACTTTAAAAAACACTTGTTCCATGTTTTGATGTCCTTATTTTTCAAACTTTTTTCTTAACCTCCTTTCATATATTTTAAATTGAGTTTCCGTTTTGAAGTGGCTTACAAAAAGCATGCTTAAAGTGAGAATCTCGATTCAACAGAAAAATTTCTAGAAAATTTCACCAACGTATTCCTAAAAAAATCATAATTTAAAAATACCATTACTTAAAAAAACCATATTATTTAAAAACCATAATTTAAAAATACCATAATTTAAAAATACCATAATTTAAAAATACCATTATTTAAAAATCATAATCATATTATTTAAAAATCATAATTTAAAAATACCATTATTTTAGAAAAACACACTTATCTAAAGAATTGTAGAGGCAGAAGAAGAGTAAACTAATGAAAAATTTTCTATTCTATGAACCAAGAGCTTCACTGTGGAGAGAAAAAGAGAGTGATTCACTCACAAGGTTTTAAAAATATGGATCGGTGGCTCAGATCGTCCATTCAAAAAATCAAGTCAGATCGGTCGATTGGTAGTCCAAATTGGAGAATTTGTTGGATCAACCGGATCTAGCCTTAAAAATATTTTAACAAGACACTAAAATTTTAAAAAATCTAGTTTTTTTTTTTAGTTTTTCAAAAAATAATAGTATTACATTAATTTTATATATATATATATATATATATATATATCTGTGTGTGTGTGTATGTGTGTGTGTGTACTATTTATTTATTTATGACAATATATAAATACCGAGGACCTGTCTCACATTTGAGTGTTTATTGTCTCTTAAATCATTTCACAGTCAACAATAATCTTCACTACCTCAGTTATCTAAATGGATAAAGAAATATGTGCTAATAAAAACCCACTGAAATTATTTCTCTTGCCAATCAATTCAAAATTTTCAAAATATATAAAGAATACATTCTTGTGACGTTTAGAGTTTGAAAGTGAACTCTAGAATATGTGTAGAGTCTTTTTATGTTTCTAAGATGAAGTATGTAAAATCAAAATTCAAGTACCACTTTCTTCATTGTATACTTAATATAAAAGCCTTGGAGAGAGTCATGTGATAAGTTGAGTTAAAATGTGTAAACTTATTTCTTATGAGAGAAAGAAAGAGGGGGAGAAAGAACTTGGATAATAATACGTTTTACTAAAAATAATGGTATTGATTTGGGGTTATTAGGACGATCATCAATGGCACAATACTAAATGAACATGGATTTCTTATGAGAGATAGAAAGAGGGGGAGAAAGAACATGGATAACAATACGTCTTACTAAAATAATGGTATTGATTCGGGGTTGTTAGGACGATCATCAATGGTATTGATTTGGGGTTGTTAGGACGATCATGAATGGCACAATACTAAATGAATTGGAACATGGATAATATTATATATCTTAGCACCATGTCCTCTTTTCTTTTTATCCAATAATCAATTTGTTGCATACACATATATCAACCGATGCAATTCTCTCCCCTATGTTACCTATTTTTTCTGTCGTTACCCATCCCGCTCTCTGTCTTTTTTTTAATATTACCAATAATTTCTATTAAAATAAAATCAAGTTACAAGATACATACAAATTCATTGGAATGAAGTAATCACCAATGAAGATTGATGTACTCCTTTTATAAGACAATCAGCCTTGGTATTAGACTCCCTGTAGCAATGGCAGATTTCAGCAGTTATAGTTTTGAGAATATCTTTTATCTCATGAAAAATTATAGTCAATCTCCATGATATATTAGCTTCGCCTTTACTTCAAGCTATAATGTTTAATGAATCATCTTGTATGATCTTCTCTCCCTCAATTCTTGACAAGAGTTTAATGCCTTCCAAAAGGTCTCTAACTTCAACTTCGTTAACTGTTGCTTCAGCTCTCTGTCT